TAAACCGCTTAGAGGGGGCTGGGAAGCGCTGGGAAGCACTGTGAAGCGGTAGATAAGTCTAAGGGCTATTGCTGTTTGTGACTTTCCAAGCTAGCTTCTAACGATCAAAGTCAACGGGGCAAGCTGGATTCGCTTAAGAATTGCAGCGATTCCTTAACAAACATAGCGAAAAGGTCACAAAAGTGGTTGCAATTCACTTAGCAACCCCATGGCGTGGCAACAGAAATTCTGGTTCCAATTCTGATTGTAAGTCAAGGACCACCTTTGCCATCTTAAGTGAAGGGGGAGGGAATCAAAACCGAAACCAACAGAGCATGAAAAAAAGCGATATATTTCCTAAAGTCCCATTGACACAACCCAGAAATACATTATGTATTAGATCACACACACACACACACACACAAGAGTGAAAGGTATATGAAATGTAACCTGGCTGATACTCATTCATTTGTGAATTCCGTAGGGTGAAAAAAATGCACTTTGCACAACAATGGCTCAAGCATTTCTCTCTTCAGGCAAGATATACTCCAGTCCTAAATGCTGGAAAATCTCTTCCTCGGAGGCAGCGGGCAGGAAAGTTTTCTGAAGGATGGGAAAAATAAATAAATAAATACATATACCTTAATCGATCAGTGAAAACCTTTTTTTTTTTTTTCCTTTTGGCATCCTGTCCAATGCTTGGCAAATTCCCCCATAGCTAAATCGCCTAGATCACCGCCCATACGTGTATGCTTGTGCACAATCAAGGACTTCATTCATAGCTTGTGCTAAACCAGGTTTTAATTGTATTGGTTGGAGAACTCATGACTGGCAAACTGAAATGGCTGGATTTCAGAGTAAAGCCAGCCCTAACTAACTAACTAACTAACTAACTGCCTTCCTTCCTTCCTTCCTTCCTTCCTTCCTTCCTTCCTTCCTTCCTTCTTTCCTTATGTACTTACTTACTTACTTACTTGCTTACTTACTTGCTTACTTACTTATGCAGCATGGTGGCCTAGCAGTGAACCTAATCGCTTCCCACTCGGAAGGTTGAGAGTTCAATCCTAGCTAGTGGCAGATATTTCTCTCCCCGGGAACAAAGAAAAAAAAAATCTGCTGTGAATTCTGCATACGCGTCAGGAAGGGCATCTGGCGAGCAAACGCTCAGCTCCATCCAATTGCTCCTGACTCTACCCCGAATTAAGGGATTACAAGGTTGTAAAAAGGGAGTTTTATTTATTTATAAAATTTATTGGTGCCCATCTTATCTCTGGGCGGTTTACAATCTATATCATCTCTATGTCATGGCCCTGTTGGAGTCTGACTCCGAGGGAGAGATGGAACAGCTGACAGGGAGTGGGAGTGTGGCTCCGGTGGTTATGGAGGAAACTGGGGAAGGGCACAGTCCGGCTGGGCATTCAGAGGAAGACCCAGGCCTATCCCCTCTTCATCCTAGGGCGCGCAGGGAGGAACGGATAAGGGAGAAATGTGAATGGCGTGGTCTACGGGGGAGGAAGGGGCCCTGATCTCCTTCATGGGCTGCAGCTGGGAGGACTAGTTAAAAGGACAAACTGCATATGGCAAAGATGCTGGAAGCAAAGCATGCATTCCTGTCGGAGCTTATCTGTGTTTTGGCTTCCTCCCAACTGTGGTTGCTGCGTTATCTGGTAGAAGTCTGCAATTAATCATCCTTGCCTGCCGTAGTAATTCCTTCAGTGTGCTGTGTTGGGTTTTTTAATTTCAAATTAATTTTATTTTGGGTGCGGACTGCATTTACTTCCTCTGTAAACTGTTTTAAGAGTTTGATATCCAGTCAAGGATAATTGGACCTTGGGGCCAAGTTGGAGACATTAAAGGGACTTTCTTCTATTTTTGTGACTTGGTTAATTTTGTGTCACGCCCTGGGTCATCACACTCTATCTCTGTCTATCTCTGTCTCTATCATTAACTCTGTCTCTATAATCTTTCTGTGTGTGTGAATTCACACACCCTATCTATTTATCTACCTACCTACCTATCATCATCTGTCTGTCTATTTCTACACACACACACACACATTAATATCAACTGCTACAATTTACTATAATCCAATTACAAATGGGGATGGTGGGGGCAGGACAGGGGGAAGGTGGGATTGGTTGTTACTCGATCAACTCCCTCCATTGTGATGCTCCCCAATTTGGGGGTCCCAAGCCAGAACTGGCCAAGCCAGGTCTTTAGACCCCTGCAAAAGGTCAGGAAGGTTAGGGGAGGTGGGGGAGAAGCAAGATGTTCCAGATGGACTCTCTTTCTGGGTGATTTAGTACCATCACAGGGCCCAGAGCTCGTCTTGATGAGTTTCTGATTCCTCTCGAGTACACAAACATGCCACAACCGCACATCCTCACTTAACAGAGAGGAATGGGAAGTTCAGAGTTTAACAAAGGAGAATCAAACAACCCCGTGGTGGAAGACTGGAGGGCTTATGGAGGCAGATCAGGAGAAGAACCAGGACCTCTCAGTGCAAGATGTCTATGCATCTATGGAGATTCTCAGTCCTCCAGGTTGTCCCAAAGGTGCTTTTTCAGGAGGCAACTGGACTTTCTGGGTTTTTTTTTTCTTTGAAGACATTTCGCTTCTCATCCAAGAAGCTTCTTCAGCTCTGAAGAGCTTCTTCAAGAATTTAAGAAGCTTCTTGGATGAGAAGCAACATCTTCAAAGAAAAAACCAGAAAAGTCGAAGTCCTCTTGGAAAAAAAAAAAAACCACCTTTGGGACATTTAAGTGCAAGATTTCCTTGGTATTTTTACACCAGAATTTGTATCCAGGTCTCACTAACCTCTTCTAATGACACCACCTGCCCTGAACCTTTGCAGAAAAAAAAAAGTTTTATCCAAAGGTGCCAAATCCAAAATCATTCCTTCTTGAGATTCTTGCTCCAGCGACCCCTTACCTGCTCCAGGTGATAGAGGCCATGGCTGTTGAGAGTCATCTTTTTCTCCTTCTTAGAGAAACGGCGGAGGTCTCGTTCGAAATTCTGGGCAAGGAAAGGGAAGGAAATGAAAGAACTTAATCCCAAGTGAAGTGCCAAGGGGGTTATTAATTTATTAATTTACCATTTCTAGGAATGCCACACTACTGAACATCCCAAATTAGATACCCATTCTGATTGCTAGGGAGCATGGAATAAAGCCTCAAACAGGTACTTCAAATAGCCAGGTAAGACAGCTTTGAAAACTAATAATATGATAACCAGATAATCCAAGAATTAGAAGCACTCTTTTGCTTTCCTCTGATTGCAATCCATTATTCCATGCCCTCTGGAACAAATAAGAATAGGCCTTCAGTTTTGTTTTGTTTCTTACAGAAATCTGAATTAAATTTCTTTTTTCCCCTCACCTTAGCTCTTTAACATATCTGTTCTGAATTTGATTTCAGTCTTCTGCAGTATTACAGAAGGAAAATGCCTAAGATTTCTTCTTCCATGGGAGATTGGGTTGAATTTGAGAAAAGACAGAAAACATCTCGAAACGCAAACAAGCCGAGGATGGGAGATTCTATGACGGGCTTATGAAATAGAAATGAGTCTTAATCCTTTGTACTAACGTTCCAGGAAGAAGAAAGTCGAGAGTTTCAAAGAGATCCTGGCCAAGAATTCAATAACAATGGAGGCCCAGAGGGTTCCTATTTCAGCCCCAACATTCTGTACTCCAAGCTCTGATCCTTGGCATTGAAACTCTGGATTAATCTCTCTTCCACTCTGCAGTGAAGGGACTTGACCTTCTCTCACAAGGCTTGCAGAAGGATTGGAGTGTAAAGGTTAAAATGAACCCTTTGTGTGCAGGAGCACCTACCATCTCCAGGTAAACTAAAAAAAAAACACCTGTTGGAAATTCTGGATGGAATGCAGGAAAAGAAAGAGAAAGAAAAAGAGAAGAGGGACAGAGACTGCCTCAAAATTTGGAGTCCGAGTTAATTTGACATCCCAAATACCTACATGGTTTAACTACATGATGGATGGATGGATGGATGGATGGATGGATGGATGGATGGATGGATGGATGGATGGAGGGAGGGAGAGAGAGAGAGAGAGAGAGAGAGAGAATAGTTGATTAGAGATATAGACACACAAATATAAATAGATGAAAGAGAGATAATAGCTGATTAAAGATATAGACACAGATATTGATAGATGAGAGAGAGAGAGAGAGAGAGAGGTAATAGTTGATTAGAGATATAGACACAGATATAAATAGACACACAGATAGAGATAGATAGATAGATAGATAGAGAGAGAGAGAGAGAGTAGTTGATTAGAGATATAGATACACAGATAGAGATACATGATAGAGAGATAATAGTTGATTAGAGATATACACACAGATATAAATAGATGAAAGAGAGAACAGATATAAATAGATAGATGAAAGAGAGAGAGAATAGTTGATTAGAGATATTGACTGATATAAATAGATAGATAATAGAGATAGGTAGATAGATGAGAGAGGTAATAGTTGATTAGAGATATAGACACACAGATAGAAATAGATTATAGAGATAGAATAGGTAATTAGATATATAGACATACAGATAGAGATAGAAGATAGAGATAGAGAGATAATAGTTGATTAGAGATATAGACACACAGATAGAAATAGATTATAGAGATAGAATAGGTAATTAGATATATAAACACAGAGATAGAGATAGATGATAGAGATAGAGAGGTAATAGTTGATTAGAAATATAGACACACAGATATAAATAGATGAGAGAGAGAGAGAATAGTTGATTAGAGATATAGACAGACAGACAGACAGACAGATAGATATAAACAGATAAACAGGCCCTGCTCCCCAATTCAGACTCCTCCTTAATTTGACATCCCCAATACCTGCATGGAAAGCTCCGTAGGAACCCTCTGACACCAACCCTTCCCCTAAGACCACGCCCAAATGAATACAAAACCACCCCAAGTCCACACACCGGAGCCAAGAACCTCCCTGGAACTCACCCGTGAGCCGGTCCAGCCAAGCAAAGCAAATGGAAACTGGCTGTACGGAGTCACAACCAAGTCCACCCGCACAGCTTTCCGGGGACTGGAGGTGCCAGGCCCCACCGAGGTGCCGAGCGTCCAAACCCCAGTGCCCCCTGGAGGGCTCCCAGCAGGGTCCCCGAGGCGGAAGATGGAAAGGCAGCGTTCAAAGTGGTCCATGGTGCTCGAACCGCCGCTAACCCACAGCTCGTCGTCTTCCAGGGAGAGCAAGCTACTTCGGTGGAAACTGTGATACAGCAAGAAGCCCTGAGGGGAGAGAATCCCAATCACGCCTAGAGATTTCAGGTAGTCCTTGACTTACAACCGTTCGTTTAGTGACCATTTGAAGTTATAACGGCAATGAAAAAAAGCGACTCGTGGCCAGTTTTCACACACTCACGACTGCTGTAGCATCCCCGGGGTGGGATTCTAACGGTTCGGACCGGTTCACACGAACCGGATGTTAAAGTTACAGCCGGTTCGGCGAAGCGGTATTTCAACACTGGCCCCGCCCCTCTGCCCCACCCCTCCCAGGAGTCTCCACGCGGCCTATTTTCAATGGACTAGATGACCTACAAGGTCCCTTCCAATTCTGTTAATCTGTATCTGTTTGGCAAGTCCTACCCTGCAGATCTCTGACCTCAGGGTAACTTTTAAAACAAACACACGTTTACTGCTTCCACTCGCATTAAGATTACTCTCCTACCACTTTGCATTCAAATCTTCGCCTACCTGCCTCTCCAGGATACCGATGACTTTGGGCAAGAGTCCCATTTCTTCACCTTCGGAAGGATGGGTGATGAGCAGGTCCACATCATGGCCACACGGCTTCCCTCTGTTGGGGACAGACAGACTGTCGCAACAAATTTCTGGCCAAGTTTGTTTTTATTGGCATTTAACATTATTAACAGTGCTAACTGTTGCTGCGTCGACCCCCATCGGCTGGATTCAGACAGAAGCATTAAATTATTACTAATTATTGTGAGTACTAAGCCAATGAGGAAAAGGAGGGAGGTAAATTTGCAATGGCAATAGGGAATAATATTAAAAAAAACCCATATTGATGATTTAAGGTGTGTCCACTGTAGCGTGGTGCACTCTCTTTGCAAAGCAGTAAATAAAATTACCACCATTTTCTCTTGGGAGTTTTGGCGGGTGGTGATCATTTATTTCAAAACTGGACAATGAATCCCACAAAATCTATTCACCTCCTAAATCCTCCGGTCAGAGTGACTGTCGCCCCAGGCAAAATCTGCTCAATCACCTGGAGTACCAAATGGCTGATGGCCTTGGCTTCCAAGAGCTCCACGGGGGTATTGAGGTCTTCATAATAAAGAAGTCCTGCAGAGAAGGGAAGAGAGGAGGAGGAGAACAGAAGGAGAAGAGGAGGAGGAAGAGGAGAAAAAGAGAAGAGGAAGAGGAGAGGAAGAGAAGAGGAGGAAGAGGAAGAAGAGAGGGAGGAAGGAGAAAGAGACGAAGGAGTAGGGGAAGGGGAGGAGGAGAAGGAGGAAGAGGAGGAGGAGGAGGAGGAGAAAAAAGAGATGGACAGAAATGTAATTTAAGGACCGGGTTCGTATCTTGACATTTCCAAAAAGCCTTATAGAATATTGTATAATCTCCAGATATATGTAAATTATAGATCCCATAATTCCCAACTGGCAAGTTGTTATATGGATATTAATATTGGTAATATTATTAGTACTAATATTGATATTAATATTGGTAATAATACTGAATTTCATTTCCTTCAAGGAACCAAAAAAAAATCAAATAGGGTCCATTCTTTTCTCTGGACAATAAATTATATGAAAATTTTATGTGAAGCCTTTCAGAGCTATTTATTACAAAAACCTACCAGCCCTAATCAAGCAAGATTTTAGAGGTGGACATTTGACTGGCAGGTCTGTGTGTGTAAGACAGAGATAGAGAGGTATCCTAATGAATGTTATAGATTACTAAGACATTAAATTTATTAGAGCTGTATAAAATACTAATTTGATCAGCTAGTTTGATGCTTATACTTTTCAGGAAAAAAAAAAGGTTGTTCTGTATATCATGTTTTAAACATAACATTGTTAAACTCGGTTAACCTTCCCCCCGTCTACTATTATAAAACCCAAGACTCAATCCACATATATTTATGGAAAATCAAAATGGAAAAAAAGCAATTTTATACCAGGTAATAAAAACCATAGAATGACTTCTAAAGGGAGTTGCGCCAGAGTAGCAAAAAGTCTCGTAGCTTAATGAAATACTGAATAATTTACCGCTCACCCCAAAAAACCCTTTGCAGTCAAGATATTGTCAATCCCAAGTTGAAGCAAAATCATAATCACCACTCCAGCTTCTATTCTACTATGCCGTTGCTGTAATACGGTGCCGCCAATATTCAAATAAACTAAATTAAAGTTACTTCTCTTTTGCAGGAATCTCTCACCTGCCTGTTGTTCTTTGTTCAGTTTTATTTGGTGCAGCTGTAAGTCAGCGAGGGTCCTCAGCCCTTCCTGGTACCACTGGCTGGCTATCTTTACCCCAACTCCAAAGATCTTCGTGAAAAGCTATGGAAAAAAAGAAATTCCTGAAAACACCTGCCCTGTCTTGCGTAAGCAAAGGGTCCACAATTCAACAGGTCACAAAATGTGGGTTCCTCTCTGAGCTTGGTTGTTTTCCTGCAGACATTTCATTACCAAACCAGATAACATCACCAGTGCTAGAAGGGAATGGGGTTTGTAGGGAGGAGGAGGAGGAGGAGGAGGAGGAGGAGGAGGAGGAGGAGGAGGAGAACTGTGGGGTCCTTGGCAGGGGTGGGATTCTACCTGTTTGGACCGGTTGTATAGAACCAGTTGTTATGATTCTGCCCAGTTCAGAGAACCGGCAAATTGTGCCACTGGCTGGCCCCACCCCTCCCTTTCCCGCCCACTTACTCCTTACCTGGCATGCATGCCATCAAACTTGCCTGCTACATTGCTATTTTTCCTTTTTTTCCCTCTGACCATCAGCTGTTCTGTTGTGCCGGGAGATTTAGATTAGCTAGAACGCAGGAAATCGTTGGATTTCTTGCTTTCTA